ACAATCCCAGAAGGAAAGGCACAACTTGGCAAAAAAAAAAAAAAAAAAAAAAAAGTTTTGGATCCTAAAATCAGGTGCAAGAACAGAGGAAAGGAAACTGGCAGACGAGCCTCCATCCTCATTTTGGCAATGGTATTCCACAGGGCAGGAAGAAATCTACCCAGGAGCTTGTGAAAAGTCCCTCCTCCCCCATTAAACCATCAGAACACTGTTACAACAGCTGCTCAAAATTATACTCACAAAAAAATGTAATTTTCTAAAAAAGAAAAGAAAAGGGCACAGCACTAACCAAGGGGACATCCTGAACATCTGGCCCTTCTCACCACACTAACTCTTAGGTTTAAGACCCGGGAATACTTTGCGGTCACCAAATAGCAAAACAGACTTTTTGGCTACAAAAATAAAAATAAATGAGGTAGATAAATTAAAGTCCTCACACCCAAGACTTGCCTGTCTCAATGTTATAATCTTCACAAGAGGGAGGGTGGTGTGAAAAGTCTTCAAGACTCGGGACAAGGAAATTCAAACAGAAAGAGAGGAGCTGCAGGAGACTAGCTGGTCCTGGTCCCGGAGGAAGGAACTGCAGTTCCCCAATGCAACGATAGGCACCTGAGGAGCCACACAAAATCACCCGAGGTGCCCGCTCTGGACCCCATCCTCTCCAGGGTCTGGGGAGAAGGTGATTTGTGGGAAAAATGGGGGGCGGGCGGCACTCTTGGGCCTCCCAATCTTTTAAATGAGCAGCAGAGTAAGTGGTGGGCTCTCTAGGGAGTTTGTGGAGGGCGTCGTACAAGGATGTGAGGTTCAAGGAAGTGGGCTAACTGGACCAGCTTAGTTGTGAGGTTTCTTCCTCCTTTCTCTGAAAGTACATTCATAAACAGAAGATGAGAATACAGGGTCGGGAGGCAGATGAGCCAGGTCCCCACGAAGATGTCCATTACCCGCATTAGTCGCCCAGCGTGGAAGCACACAGCACTCTCTCCCCTGGACTTCCACTGTGGGCCAATTGCCCCAACTGTTTCACTTTGATACAGGTGACAGTCTTTGGAAACAGCCACGAGGTCACACAAAGCTTCTAGGATACAGTTTGTCCCAAGGAACAAAGCTACTCTTCAAAACCCGCTTCTTTGCAAAACTTAAAAGTCTGTTTTGGTGGATTTTTTTTTTCCTGTTTTTCAATTTTCCTCTTTTTTTGGTTTCTTTTTTCCTTTTTTGGGAAGCAGCATAGCAACGGTGAGATTGTAGGACTGCCCAAGGCTGTGGTCATAAGCGTAAACATCACTTGTGTATCAGGAAGGGAAGCAGGAGATGGTCAAGGAAACTAAAGAAGGAAGCAGATCTCTCTCCAGCTGCACGCCCTCGCCCCCCTTAGCTGACTGCGATCTTGTTTTCTTCCAAAAAGTGGGGAAACTGGTGCTTGGCCACACCATCGGGAACAGCAGGCTTCTCCACGTTCCCGCCCACAGCCGACTGAGAGCCATCGAGCTTAGAAAGCGTGGCATTGCTTACCACAGAGCTGGCCCCCAGGGACACGGGCAGGGTGGGGATGCCTCCGCTCTGGATCACAGAGATCTCATTGGTCTTCATGGCCAGGCCCCCATTGAGGACGCTGGTATACTGGTTCCACGTGGTGGGGTCCACACTCACCGCCGCTGGGGGAAGGAGTTCCTTAGGGAACATCTCGGGCACTCTCTTTCCCTCGGAGCCTAGCACAGCCACGCTGTTCTCTATGGCCAGCTTCCTGCCCCGGCGGGCAGAGTTATTGTTGGCCCCATGTGTCATGTAGTGTACCTGTGGGGGACAGCAAAGAGGGTTTCATCAGATAGAGTCCCGTCTGTTCGAAAGCCTAAGTCAACCTCCATGTGGGTGTTCGTCTCCATAAAGTGTGCACCATCCAACCTTCAGAATACACTTTTTCTTAGAAACTGCACCAGGGGTGGTGGACAAGTTTGAGAGGGAGGAGGGCCTTGAGTTCAAGGGCAGCCTGGGCTACACAGTAAGACCTTGTATCAAGCCAGAAAAATAAACTCAGGTATCTGACGGTTTAGGAGGATTTTTGTACATGTATTGGAGAAAGAGGTGAGGGGACATCTTTGGCCAATGCCCCTACCAACATTAATAAGGGTAGGAAATACTCTCCAGCCGCATCTGCCTAGCCATCCGTGGGTGCATTTACAGAAATGCTTACACGAGACATCATGCAAGTGTTCATGTCTGAGCTTACAAACCTGTTACTGAGTAGCAGTGACATGGAAAAGCTCTGTAAGCAGACTGTCTGCATTGAGGTTCTCGCCCTCGTGTTATTGTTACTTTACCCCCACTGTGGGGTAAAGGACAGGTGTACCTCTTACTACATGTCAATCTCACAAATATGTAAATGGAAATATTACTTAAAAGGTAATTTAAGCCAGGTGGTGGTGGCACTCAATCCCAGCACTTGGAAGGCAGAAGCCAGCGGATCTCTGTGAGTTCAAGGACAGCCTGGGCTACACAGAGAAACCCTGTCTTGAAAAACAAATAATAAACCAAACAATAACAAAAGAGACAAGTCTCTCTGACATTGAATACTCCTCACCCCTACACCTTCACCTCCAAAGAACTGGAACCACCAAGCTTGGTTTAGAATGTGCTGGGGACACCCCAAGGACTGTACGAATACTAGGCAAGCACCTCAGAACCAGCCACACCCCAGCACCAATGCGTCTGTAGACCAGACTGGCCTCAAACTTGCAGAGATCAATCAGCTTCTGCCTCCCAAGTGCTGGGATTAAAGGTGTGCACCGCCACTACCGCCTGGCCAGTCTTAAACTTTTTTTGGAAGTGCAGGAGATCAGACAGAGACTTCTGAAAGAAGCCAGTGTCTAACACCAAGTGGTGAGAGGTGTCTCACACGGGTGCTGAGAACTGAACTCAGGTTCTCTGCAAGAACAGCAAATGCTCTTAGCCCTGAGTTATCTAGAATACTGGGATTGCAAGTGTGACTCACCACAATGCTTTATCTCACACCAAGCTCAAAAGCATCACAGTTCAGAACTAGAGGATGGAGCGGTTAGGAGCACTTGCTACTCTTGCAGGGAGTGAGTTCGAATCCAGAACCCACATGGGAGCTCAGACACAATTACCTGACTGACAACCTTCCTCTGACCTCCATTAGAACAAGGCACAGCCATGGTGCATACATACACAAAGGCAAAACAATTGTATCCACAAAAGAAGATGGCTAGGTATGGTGGCTCACACCCATAATCCCAGCAGTCAGGAGGACCATGAGTTTAAACCGGCCTAGGCTATGCGAGACACAATACAGTTGGGCATGGTGTGGTGGCATGTGCCTGGAGTCTCAGTGCAGAGACAGGTGGATCTCTGAGTTCAAGGCCATTCTGGTCTACACAGAGAAACCCTGTCTGGAAAAAAACCTAAGACAAAACAAAACTAAAAAAAAAAAAAGAAAATAGAAAAAAAAAAAAAGAAGAAACACACACAAAACAAAGACTAGGGCTAGAACTCGGCTGATGAGTGCTTACCCAGCAACCACAAGACCCTGGGTTCACGCCTTTAATCCCAGCACTTGGGAGGCAGAAGCTGGTTGTAGACCAGCCTGGTCTACAAGAACTAGTTTCAAGACAGGCTCCAAAACCAGAGAAACCCTGTCTCGAAAAAGCAAAAAACAAGACCCTGGGTTCTCAGCAAGACACTAAATAAAAACTAGGTTTGGAGGCAGTCTGTCACACTAGCAGTCAGAAGGCACCAGCAAGGTCATGAGTTCAAGCTCAGTTGAGTTCAGGAGCCTGGAACACCTTTCTTCCCAAAACAAGCTTCATGCGCTGGCTGAGATGTAGCTGTGCTCTAGCCTGGCTGTCCTGGAATTCACTGTGCCGACTAGGCAGGCCTCAGAGATCCACTTGCCTCTGCCTCCCCGGTGCTAGAATAAAGGCGGGACTGCAATAGGTTTTCCCCTTTTCAGTGGTGCTGCGGCTGGAGCCCGGAGCTTGTAAATATTAACCCACCACTATGGCATTGTGCTGCACCCTAGCCCCTAACCCCCCTTTTTGGAACCTGGGTCTCACTATGTAGCCTTAGCTGGCCTGGGAAGTTGCTATTGTAGATCATGTTGGCCCTCCAACTCAAGAGAATTCCCCCCCCCCCCCGCTTCTGCCTCTGGGATTGCAGTGTTCAAAATTAAAAGGCCAAGACACCATAAACTGGTGGATGTCTTCTACCCATAGAGGCCACAGACCAATCCGTGAGAACCCACCTTGAGGTTGCCTTTAGTGGTGAAGGCTCTCCCACAGATGTTGCAGACGAAGGGTTTTTCACCTGTGTGTGTCCGCTCGTGGATCTGAAGGGCGCTGGCAGATGAGAAGTTCTTTCCACAGCGCGTGCAGCAGTGTTGCTTGGCCTGTCGGCGTGGCTGTGCTGCGAGCAAAGGTGCCATGCCTGAGGACATGCTGGAGGGTCCCACAAAGGTGCCAGGAACTTCAACTTTGACATAGGTGGGCTGGGCTCGGAGAAACGTCGATGGGATGCTGGTGCGACCTAATGGGGAGAGGTGGGAAGAAAGATAACTTTTGTCATCTAACAGCCAACTCACTGTCTGAAACAAACCCTCCACGACAATCGTCTGCTAGGCGAGCTGAGTAGCTCACGTAGATCACAGTTCAGCAGCAGCTTGCTTAGAAGTTTTTCAGTGTGTGTGTACATGTGTACACGCCTGTGTGGAAGTTCAAAGGCAGCCTTGTTGTTCCTGTTAGCAACCAGCTCTCTGAGACAGGATCTCTGAAGGATCTAGAATATCAGCAAGGGGGCTAGCTAGGCTACTGGCCCACAAGCTTAGCGATCTGCCTTTTTCCCATCAGCTAACAGCGGTTACAAACACAGCATGTCTGGCCTTTTACATGGAGACCTGAACTCAACTCAGCAGCGAGTGCTTAACCAATCATCAAGCTCACCCTTTTAAGTTCTTATTTACACAGAAAACAAAACTCACTTAGGAAAATTTGCCCTTTTTATGGTGTAAAGTATGGGTAACAGAAGTATGCGTGCAGGTAACATCCAAGTCGGAATAAGATATCATCTCAGCTACTTCACTGGGAAGTAGAGGCAGGAGGATCTGACTGTAGAATGAATTCAGGCTGGTATCCTCCCCAAACCCCTAAAAAAAAGTCAGATATGGTGGTGCATGCCTTCAGTCCCAGCACTTAAGAGGCGAGAAGACAGGCTGATCAAGTCTGAAGTCATCCTGGTCTACATAGTGATACCCTATCTGAAAAGAAAAACATCAAAAGGATGAAGGCTGGAGGGCTGTGGACCAGAGAAAGGGGGGAGGGGGCTAACCTAGGTTAAAATCCCAGCAGCACAATGAAGTCACCATCACACCAAACCTAGGCATTTTCTGTGGTTCTAATGAAGTATTCTGGATCAATGGACATCACCTGACACATCTAACATAGGTATTGTCTTCATACATGAACAGTTTCAGAACTGGACCCTCAGTTCAAGCAACTACTGCTTGATTTATTTTCGTGGCCCAAACAGTGCCTTCTTCCTCAAATACCTACCCATGGGGTCAAAAGAGAAAAAAAAAAGAGAGAGACAAACCCAACATCCGTGTTGTCCATATGACCCAAGATAGAGTCTACCAAGTACTAAGACAGAGGCAATTATCAGAGCCTTCTACCCAGAAATACAGAATAGCTAATTGCCCTACAGAAACGTCAAGTTCAACCCAGGCTCTTTTTCTGGTGACCTTGAGCCCCAAAGGGACATTAAGTGAAATCCAAAGCTGCATCACCTTCCGTGTCAACGCGGCAGCTCTCGATGCCCTCGGTCTTGTTCACCTCAGGAGACCGGGACTTGACGCTTTCTGCTTGACTATTGGCAGGGGACACCGCCTGGAAGCACATGGTTTCCGCGGCCTCTGGGCTTCGGCTCTGACATTCCTGCTCACCCACGAGTGAGGACGAGTCATTGGTCAGGCAGTTGTCACTCTCCACCGGGCCGTTTTCTCGGCTGCTCTGTCGAGGGGGAGGAGCCCCTTTCCCCTGATTATCCAGGGAAGCCATCACAGAAAAGCCCAGAATGGGCGACACCAGGTGGGCACTGGGAACTGATGCGGAGACCTTGGCGGAGCCACCGGGGACATCCTGGGGACAGATGCCATCTGCTTCAATCCTTTCCACCGTGTCTTCCTGGCCAAGAGCACTGGCATTGCCATTCTCGCCCATGACCATAGGCTCGGGACTGGCGAAGTCACAGGGGCTTTCTGGCAGGGGCGTGTTAGGGATCTGGCCACCCATGTGCATTCGGATGTGCTGCTGTAAGAGGACGGCGTTGGTGAACTTCTTCTGGCAGATGGGGCACGAATGTTGTGTCTTTACGGCGGTGTTGTTGGTTCGGTGAACCCCAAGGTGTGTCTTCAGATTGCCTTTGGTGGAGAAGGCCCGGCCACAGACCTTACACTGGAAGGGTCTCTCCCCTGTGTGGGTCCGGTAATGCATCTTGAGGGAACTCTGACAGCTGAGTACCCGGTGACAAATGAGACATTCATTGGGGTCAGTAGTGGCCTTGTCAATGTTCTCCACGAGTTGCTGCAATTTCAGAGTCTCTGATCCTGACTCCGGGGTCCCACTCCCCTGGAAGCCCCCAACCCTTGGGGGATTATGCACCAGTCCCACCCCAAGTAGTGGAAGTCCCACCTCACTTTCTGGAGAAGGCCCTGGCTGCATGTCATTGGGCAAGGAGCCACCCATGAGGTCCTTGGGATTGGGCCCCTGAGGGAGCTTCTGAGGTAGCCCTATGGGAGGGGTTCCCAAGACATGGACAGGCTCGGTGTCTACAGAGAGACTCGATTCATCTACAGGGATGGGGACAGAGAGTGCGTAGGGGGGGCCGGTGCCTGGTGTCACTTTGTCCTGGAATTCAGCAAACAGCTGCGGGTTTGCCTTCACCTGAGGGTGTCGATGGAAGTGTACCTTGAGGTTGCCCTTGGTGGTGAATCGGTGACCACAGACAGAGCACACGTAAGGTCTCTCTCCGGTGTGGGAGCGGAGGTGGATCTGCAGGGAGCTATCGGTCCCGAAAACCTTGCTACAGTACTTACACTTGTGCTTGCCGAGGATGGCTTCGTCCTTGGCCTTGGTATCCAACGCTGCCGCAGAGATGTTTGGGGGCTTCCCCTTTCCTTTCTTGGATGGGTCGAGTGCCACAGTGGAGAAGGGGCTCTGAAGAAGCACAGAGCCCGGGGTCTGAGGTAGCAGGGCACTTGGAAGGCGAGACATGAAGTTGGGGAGAACCCGAGTTCCTCCATCAGGCTTCAAGGCGAAGGGCGGAAACCCTGAGGACAAGGAGCTGGCTGCAGAGGGGACACTGGCATGAGGTAGTTTGGCTGGTTTCAAGGCATCTAGAGACAGGGCCGGGTTTGAGGATTTCTGGCTGAGCAGAGCCACAGCGGCAGACACCTGCTGGGATACAGACACCTGCTGAGACACATGGTTGCTTAAGGCCTTCAGAGTGTCCGCACCAGCCACTCCGGAGTGGAGGGCATGTGCAGCCCACATGTTCACCTGGACACGGATTTGTTCTGTGAGTTGGATCTGCTGGAGCTGCTGCTGCTGCAGACAAAGGATCTGCTCCAGGACCCACGGGATGCTGTGGGCAGCTGGCACGGGTGCTGCAGGGGCATCCACACTCCGCTGGTTCACTGCCACCTTGGTACCACGGAGCGCCTGCAGAGTCACGTTGGTGTTGGCCACTTTGCCTTTGGGTAAATAGCTTATGTCCTGGGGTGTAGGTGGCAGGGCATTCTCTGTCTTTAAGTACAGGATGGAGTCCGTGCCCAGCTTTTCCTTCAAGTCCCCAGAGTTGCTGCTGTTGTCTTGGTGACTGTCCTTATTGCTTGGGCTGTCTGGCTGTTGACTCAGGACACCTCTGGGGAAGTCATCTGAAGGCACTGGCCCCTCACTGTCATTCATGATGAGGACAGGAGGATTTTTAGTGCAACTTTTCTTGTGTTCCAGGAACTCAGAGAAACTGAAGAACTCAGCACAACACTTGTCGCAGATGTGGGTCTCCTCCCGCCGGGGGCGCTTCACCAGGGCCGTGTCCTCCGTCATCACCTCATCGCCATTTCCTGGCGAGTTCACTGGAGCACCTGTGCAAGGGGAGAAAAGAGTGAGCACTCTGTCCTGAAAGGGGGCGTGGATCGAAGTGACAGACAGACAGACAGACAGGTCTCCATTATCACAGGTCCTGACTCATGAAGACTGTATAAGGGACCAAGTACTTACTTACGGTCTGAATGACCTAAAACAGGGTATAAGGAATTATGCCTCCCTAGAAGCCACCACCAAGTCTCACACCCCATGCCTGCCAGGGTACACAACTTTGTCTAGATGAAGTCTTTATTAAGAGGCCCAGGCCGCCCCAAACCTGCTTTGTAGCTGAGGCTAGCTTTGAACTCCTAACCCTCCCTGCCTCTTCTTCCAGAGAGGGCTGGGATTACAGGAGTCTGCTGAGAAACTATCTGAACACCAGTCAGAATGGCTTTGATTGAGAACACCAATGACGGATTATGCTGGAGAGGATGTGGAGTAAAGGAAACAGGGATGGGCATGGACGGAATCCAGGAGTTGTTGTGGGGAGTAGGGACTAATATTAAAATAAACTGTATGTGTGTTTGAAATTTTCAATTAATAAATATGCTGTACCTGGCTGAAGTGATGACTCAGGTTAAGAGCATTTGCTGCTCTTGCAGGACTGGGGTTTGGTTCTCAGCACCCATGTGGCACCTCACAACCATCTGTAACTACAGTTCCAAAAAATCTGATGACTTTTTTTGGCCTCTGAGGGCCCTAGGAAAGCATGTGGTGTGCATACATACATGCGGGTGTGTGTGTGTGTGTGTTAACGAGTGTGTGGGTATAATATAAAATTGAGAAAGGCTTTCAAGGGGGTAACGGTAGATGTGTGGGAAGAAGACGCAGGCAAAAGGACACAGAAGTCATAAAAGACGACAGAAAGCTATTTTTTTTTTTTTAGTTTCAACCTGCAGGTTTTTTTTTTTTCATTTTTAGTGCTGGATAAATGCACAAGGATGCACTGGACAGGGGAAGGGTAAAGCCTTGAGCAAAGCTGCACAGCTTCAGAATGGACGTACTGATGGCACAGTCAAGACACTGAGATTCATAGGGTTTCCTTAAACAACTGTGTGATGTTTTCATGTGAGTTAATAAGAATAAGGTGATTTTACTTAAAAAGATCTGTTCTATGACTGGCATTTGTTGTTAAAAAAAAAAAAAAAAAAAAAAGGAAGGAAGGAAGGAAGAGAATTAACACCCAGGGCAAATGATGTCACCAAGAGACTTGGAGACCTGAACTTCAAAGTCATAGACTGGGAACTGGACAGGGTCTTTGGCAAACACATTAGGCTCAGTGTTTAGCATCACCCTAAGAAGAAGACTAGGGACCAGCAAGACAGTCTCAGAGAATGGCACTTCCTGAAGGTCAAGGAAGAGATGGAGTTGAGGGGCTTCACCAGGAACTACTGAAACCTACAGCAATAACCGACACACAGCTGTTTTATTATAGGATCTTACTTTGTAGTCCAGGTTAGCATTGAACTCACAGCAATCCTGCCTCGCTTCCCAGGTGCTAGGATTACAGTCATGTGCCACTACTAGATGGTTTGTTAAACCAATCCCCAACAATCCCTGGAAAGGCCAATAGAGGACAACCAATACTAAGGACATTGGAACTGGTCAAATCCTACCTGACCTCCTCCATGACCCAAGCAAAACAGAAGACAGGGGGCTGGAGAGATGGCTCAGAGGTTAAGAGCATAGGCTGCTCTTCCCAAAGGTCCTGAGTTCAATTCCCAGCAACCACATGGAGGCTCACAACCATCTGTAATGAGGTCTGGTGCCCTCTTCTGGCCAGCAGGCATACAGACAGAATATTGTACGCATAATAAATAAATACAATTTTTTGGGGGGAAAAAAAAAACAAAAAACAGAAGACAGTAAATCACATTTCAACCCAGACAATGAGCACCCAACATCCAGGGGTAGCAGAAGTTTAAAGGTGCTGCTAACAAGACACCACCAATCCATCCCAGATTAGGCAAGCCTGTGCTATCAGGTACCTGGGAGGCTGAGGTAGAAAGATCAGAGTTCAAAGTCAGCCTGGGAGCTGGACCTTGAGGACCTTTAACCATAGCACTTGGGAGGCAGAGGCAGCAAGATCTCTAGGAGTACAAGACCACCTGGTCTACAGAGTGAGTTCCAGGACAGCCAGGGCTACCCAGAGAAACCCTGTCTCCAAAATAAATAAATAAATGGAGCCTATGGCCACGCTCCTCCATCTGCTGCCTTTCAATTCCTAGGCATTAAACACAGAAGACTCAAGTTAGGAGTGTTCCACTTGGTCTTTTTCAATGTTAAGACAGTGCAAAAGCAATGCCTTCAACACCTGGTGTTCGCGATTCTGAATCCTTTCTCCCTTTATCATTTCTGTTGTCTGTGGCCACCCGGATGGGTTTGCTCGTCCGTGTAGTTCCTGCATGGAAATCAGGACAACTTGTGGAACTGGTTCTCTCCTCCACCCCTGGGATCAAGAGATTGGACGAGGCCAATTGAATCTTAACCAGCTGAGCCTAGAATATGTCTTCAATATTGTTTTCTGAGAGCCTCACAGAGGCCAAACTGATCCTCATCCTCCTGCCTCTTCTTCCGGGGTGCAGGATCTACACATTTGGGGGGGGGGTTACTACGGAGTCAACTCTTGCACGCTGGGGAAGCACCTAGCACCGCACGGCAACCCAGCACAGCCACGGTTTTGAATGATGTGACTGCCAAGATCAATCTAGCACAGCCTTAATACAACTCTCAAGTGTTATTGATTTTGGACCAAGTGACAGGATGGTACATCATGAGGCTTGTGTGGCTTGAGGGAAGAGACGGGACAATAGCCAAGGCACCAAGTCCCAAGTCCTGGACTTTACACCTTAAGAAGGTTTATCAAGGGCCTGAAGAGATGGCTCACTGGTTGAGAGCACTGGACCCAAGTTCCAATTCCCAGCACCCACATGGCAGCTCCCAACTGTCTGTAACTCCAGTTCCAGGGGATCTAATGCCTTCCTTGGACATGTGGGCACCACATTTACATCACACACCACACACAGACACACACCCCTTTGTAAGGAAGCCACTCAAATTCAAAAGATTTTAAAAAGTCCCTACCTATAAATGTGATGCAACTAGGCCCTCAGCACAGAGGTCAAGTCACGCCCCAAACATTACTCAGCAGGTTCCTTCCACACTGAGGAGGGGGGCACTGGGGACATGTGTTAGGTCTTTCCTGGTACATACAAGTCCTATAATCACACTCTTCTCTCAGCAATACAGGGAAGACTAGGAGATAAAGGATCCACTGACTAGGAAGCCCTGGAACAAGAACACTTTAATCCCAGAACAAGAAAGGCAGGGGCAGATTCATTTGTAAGTCCAGGTCACCAGGACAGTAAGGGCCAAGTAGACACTGCCCATTCTCTCAAAAAAAAAATTTAAAAAAAATTGAGAAAAAAAACCCTGGGAATATGGTTTAGTTGGCATGGGAGCACAAAAACCAACTGCTGGGCAGGGTGTGTCAAGACATGTCTACAGGGAAGTAAAACTTTTGCCTCCTAGACAGGGTCTGGAGGTCTGGGATAGAAAACTGTAGACCAGGCTAGCCTTGAACTCAGAGGCAACTGCTTCAGACTTCAGAGTGCTGGGATTAAAGGCTTGTGCCACCATCACCAAAAGGTCCAACCAGGGTGCAAAGGCTCCCAGTGAAGTCTGGGTCTCCGTTCTGCCTTCCCACATCACCCACTCTGGAAACCACTGTCTTGCACAGACCATCCTGTTTCTTCTCCTCAGGCAGGGTCAAGTGTCCCAGACTGCCCTGCTCTCCAACCCGGCGTCCAGATGACCTTAAAAGTCTGAGCTCCAGCTTCCAGCTCTCTGGTGCTAGAAAATGCTTGAAACACCACATCTAGTTTTAAGGTTTCTGAAAGGCTGAAGATGGACTCAACAGCTTAGCTTCACGCACGCTGGGCAAGCAGTCTGCCAAGAGGACCCCCATCTACACCCCCATCTGTCTTTATATGACGTTAACTAGACCACCTTTGTAGTCAGGCCTTTGATGTACCCTTGAACCCATTTTGCAGATGTATATACACTTAGGCTCAGCAAGAACTAAGTAACCACATCTATTTCTTTCTTTCTTTCTTCCTTCCTTCCTTCCTTCCTTCCTTCCTTCCTTTCTTTCTTTCTTCTTTCTTTCTTTCTTTCTTTCTTTTTACTTATGTACCCTAGGCATGAAACAGCTTTGGCCACGAAGATAGGCATCAAGCTAGGATGAACAAAGGACTCCATCTGCTCTGTCCCTGGCTGATATAAGACAACACCACCACCAAGGTGTCTCTTTGCCCATTGCCAGGGACTGCACATCTATTTCTTAAGCTGCACCAGTTTCTGGGCAATTTCTCCATTTCTCGCATCATTCCTCCTGACGTGTTAGAGCACGAATGTTTCCTGACCTCGTACATACCAAGAACACAGACTCTCCCGATTCTAAAGCAGGCATTTGAAAATTCTGTTGAGACAAGGTCTTCTTAGCTCACTAAATAGCTCAGGCTGACCCCAAATTCCTGACAAGACTCCTGCCTCAGTTTCCCAAGTACTGGCATTTATTTTAAGAGTGCACCACTCTGGCTGGGCAGTGGTGGGTGGCACACACCTTTAATCCCAGCACCCAGAGGTAAGTGGATTTCTGTGAGTTCGAGGCCAGCCTGTTCTACAAGTGCTAGTTCCAGGGCAGCCAGGGCGGTTACACAGAGAAACCCCATCTCGAAAAAGAAAAAAAAGAGTGCACGAGTGCACACCACACCCAACTCTAAGGCAGCAATCTTAACCTGGAATCCATTAAGCTCACCTAAGATTCACCATTTCTTTCCGTCGGGGACGTAAGTATTAACAGCACCTCAGGCTGTCAAACACCAGACTCTCCGAATGTTACCAGAGGGTGGCTCTTGCACTTTCTGGGTAACTGAGGCAGTTGGCTGACAGATAGGATACCAGACCTGCCATTTTATTAAAAAAAAAAAAAGGGTACACGTGACTGCAATAGTCCCCTAATATCGGTAAAGGGGGAGGACCCTGTAGACACCAAAGCCAGAGGTTGAGAGGGTCCCATCAGTTACTACCAACTCACCCTCTGGTATGACTCCCACCCCCACACTGGGTAGGAAGAGCTCTCCCACTGAGCAGTATCTCCAACCCCCAAACTTTAATCTCCAGGATTTAGCGTACCCACCTGCAATGCAAATACTATGTAAATAGTTCTGGGACTGCATTGTGTAAGGGAGAAACAGCCAGAAACAATAGCCAGCATGGGGTCATCTTTGCCACGTTCAAGAGTCTTGAGCGGGAGAAGATAAGGACTAAATGTCCGTTCGCTGGTCACTGCACTTTGCTCCCTAGAATTCTGTGCCCTCTCAGTGATAGACAGCCAGGATGCCAACTGCCTTCCCTACTGTATACACAAGCCCCAAAGCCACCTCAGCCCCTCTCCCTCCTGCCTGGCCGCTCACAGCACCAGCAACACCCACCTAAAACTGCAGCCTAAAACTGTTTGCTTAAGCAGTAAAAAACCACCTTGGCCATACCACCGTCGGCAAATAGTGGGACCAGTATCTGCAGGAGGAGTCTCCTCTGTCAGGAACAACTGCTGGCTATGCTTAAGTTAGCCTGAAGGGAAGGAAAGCCAAAGTCCACAGGGAGAGCGCCAGCAAGCAGGGTTTCCATCCCCCACCCCGAATTTGAGGAATGTTATCTCTCCAGCATCTAGTTATCCAGTAAAGTTGGAAGAATGCAGTAAACCCAGCAGGGGTCTTAGATTCAATCTCGGGCCAGATGGATGGAAAATACCCTGACTATTGTATAGGAAGAAAGCTAATCAGCCAGGAGGCCAATCCCTGGCCGGAGACACTCAAACAGTTAAAAAATAAAATAAGATCTGTATATCTCGATAAAAGCCTGGCGACTCAGGTTTTGCTTATCTGTTACCAGTCCTGTATTAGAAGAATGACAATGAGCAGCTTACCTAAGGAACCCGGTATCTCAGGCCCAGCCCTACCTCCAGGATAAGTGCTTACCAAAAAACAAAAAGGAATTATGTCTCTGGGTATTATTGACCCAGCTGTAAGGGCTAAAAAAAAAAAAAAAAAAAAAAAAAAACCTGTTTCACGTAGCAAAGCTTTGAAATCTACATGGAGAGGTAGAATCTGAACTAATATTATGTCTCTAGTTAATCAAAAAATCCACAAAAATTAAAAGCAGTCATGGATCAAAGCTCAGGGGCCCCATGGAAAAGATTTGAAATGGTAAAGGGGGAGCCACGGGAATGGTCAAGACAGTTGCCACCACATCTACAACCAGAGTCAGATCAGCTAGCCTATGCCACATGCACCTCGTGGCAGCATAGAGAAAAAAATTAAATTTTTTAAGTAAGGGAGGCCCTGTCCCCTCCTGCCTCAACTGGAACAAGCTTGCACACACCAAAAAAGCAGAGGTCTGTCTCCATCCTCTCCCACAGCTTTAATACATCCAGGTGTGTCTGTTAAAAATAGTACAGATTAAAGTGATAATGGTTAGTAACCTCCTGAATTCAACTCCTTTCTTTTCAAATCACATGCCCCCGAGAAATGAACCCAAATTGTTTTAGTTCTGAGTTGTTTCCTGGGGGTCCCTTCCTCCACAGCTTCTAAAGGCAATTTGGAAAGTCAAAGGGGGGCTGCCTATAGTGGCAGATGCTTCCAATTCCAGAAGTTGGAGGCAGAGCCAGGAACATCACATCACAACTCTGGAGGAAGCTGGGATGGTGAGGGCCACGAAGGTGCCGTGGCTACCCAGACAGACCCTGTGTGGAGGAAAAAGAAAAAGGAAAATGGCCAAGCCAAATCAGTTTCAAGCACTAACCATGGTTGCCTCTCACAAAGGAGACCATCCCATCACCAACTGCTCTGGGACCATCAACAAACACTCCCACGGATTCAAAGAAAGCTAGAGTCAAGTTGGAGGAAAACCACGGACCAAGCCATCAGGAAGCCTCCATTAACTTTCCAGTGGGTAAACTTCCAAAGCTACTTCAGTCTTGAGAATGAATGCAAAGTCCCAGCCTGGGGTCTGGCACACAGCATGTTCCCGTTTCTAAAACTAGTATAAACTCCTTGAATAAAGTCTCCGATCACACTCCCAATACACAATCTGCTTCTTCTATAGAACATTTTCACTGCCAGTGTACACAAGTACCCAAAGCTGGCTGGGCGGGTGGGGGATAATACCCCTAGACAAGGCTACACCCAGAACGGAATGCTGACTGTCTTCCAAATCTCGCCAAAATCCTTTTCTCCAAAATCTCATTTGACACTTTACATCCAAAAGGCGGAAATGCTAACCATGCCTCAGCTACCCAAAATGTTCCCCCAGCCCCCTACTAAGATGGGAGCCTGCTAACCCCCCATCGCCAACGACAAAGTATCGTTTACTGGCGGCTGAGCATCACTGAGGGTGAAGGAATGCATTTTACATGCAATTTAATGAATAAAAAAGGTCGTGTGCAAATTACAGCCCCCTCCCCCTTTGGGGAGTTCTAAATTCGCTTGAAATTTAACTAAAGCCCAGCACAGGCAGGTCAATAGAGGCTGGAAACTGGAGCTAAATTACTAAAAACCTGGGAATCGTAATAGCTGAAGGTTGTAATCCAGTTTAGCACAAAGGGCATTTGGAACCCTTTTGAGAAAATGCTAATTTTCCTTTAAGTACTGTGAGCCCCCTCTCCTCGACCACCTGCGGATTTTTTGATCTGCTAATTATTGCCCGGATTTCATTTTCTTAGCTCAAAAACTGCATTCTCCAATGAACTGACCAAAAGGGATCTAGAAGCTTCGCGGTATAGATTATAATCTAAATTTATCGATACTGAGCCTGATCCCAAAATGCAATCATTAAAAATAAAAAAAATAAAGTTCTTCCCCGAGCCACAAGGGGAAAGAGGGCTCCCCAAATCCTTTCTAAGAATTCTTGGCGAAGACTCCCAGGCACAGGAAGGTAGGGATCCCGCAGAGATTCCCCGGGTGCAGATCTCGGGACCCAGCTTGCGTCACTCACCAGGTGTGTGCCCCTATTCGCACATGACCGGTCTCCAGAGGGCGCCCGAGCGCTAAGTGGCGGGGCTCCGACCGCGGGTGATCCGCAGAAAATGCTTCCCAAACCGCGGTGGCAGCGCGCGCCCAGCGGCCTCAGGGCGCAGCCAGGTTAAGCGCGACTCCAGCCAGCGGAGATTTCGGGAAGCCCTTCAGTAGCAAGCTACCCCTCCATACCCCCAGAAAGTCAACCATTACCCAAAGCCAAAAAAAAAAAAAAAAAAAAACCCACACTAGTATGCACTCACCCCCAATGGGGGGGGGGGATGGGAGGTCAGCTCAGGACCAGGGGAGGGGTCAGGGCCGGGAGCTCGCCCCTCCTCTCCCGAGGAAGCAGGCGGGCTTAGGGTTAACCCTTTTGTTCCAGGTGGACCGGGCGACCCAGCCTCTCCTCGGTCCGCCCCCCCACACCAGCTCTCCTGGCCAAGGCACAAAGAGTCCATCCCCCAGCTGCAGGGCCCTAGGATGTGGGATGCTCCAACACCCCAAAACTCACATCCGCTCCCTCGACCAAGTAACGACCTTCTATTTGCCCTGAGAGGGGAAAAAAATCAGCTGGGTGGGTCACTGAACTTTTGATAAACTCGGAAAGTTGCGGGGAAGTAGGATCGCACGCCCGAGAAAGCCGGAGCGTCCGAGTGGAGCGCGCAGAGTCCGCCGCTGCCGTGCACCGCCCACCAAGCGCGGAGAGCTGTAATCTGGCGGGAGACCCGGGGGACCCCCTCCCCCACGTTCCCAATTTCTCCGGCGACAGTCCGGCGGGTAGGGGCGAGGGGCTGGTGGAGACCGGCTAGGAAGGCGCTCGCCCGCAACTCGGGCCGCGCCGAGGTCCTGAACTCCGCGGAGGCGCGGGCCGGGTCAACCGCAGCCCGACCTCTCCCCTTTCACCTCCCGGCGTGTGCTGAAGCCGTGCCGCCCGAGGGGTCCGTGCAAAAAATAAATAAAAGAGGGTGCGTTCCGGCTGGGGTGACCATGCACCCGCCACCCGGGCCCCGGCCGGCACCCTCCCGCTGGCCGCAGTTATTTTTAGATAGTCGGAAATCAAAGATGGCTGGAGGTCAGGCCCCGAAAGGTTAGGGCGAGGATCGGCAGCAGGCGGCGTAGCCCCCGGGGAAAGGCGGAAAGCAAAAAAAAAAAAAAAAAAAAAAAAAAAAAGTAAACTAAATACCTAAAATTACGGAAAAATAAAAGCTTCCAACAGAGCTAAACCGAGTAGCCTCCCCCGCCCAGTGTGCTGCGCGGGTGGCCCGCACCCCGGCCTGGGGGTGGGGAGAGGTCGCGCCCCCTCCCCCCACTCTGCCTGGGAGGGGCGCGTACAACAGATCGCCCTCCGGGGGGGTACCCTAGAGGTGCGCCCCTCCTCCTAGAGGCCCCCAAGGGGGTGGAAGAGAGGGTGGGAAGACTTGGGGGTCTCTTTCTTTTAAAAGCGGCGCCACCGGAGAGGGGAAAAGGCAAGGCTAAGTTGCCGTGTGAGGGGGTGCTTGTGTATCAAGGCGAGGGAATCAACTATGGGACTGAGGACAAGGAGAATCAAGCTGGTGGGAGAGTGAGGCAGAAAGAAAATGGGAGGCCAACTTTGCAATAAGAGGGAGAGAACTGGGGGAAACTTTCTTGGTGGGGGGGGGGGGCTGAGGCTACCTCCTTCCGACCCGCTCCGTCTCTCCTTTCCCGGAACGGAGTCCGGGATCCCGGTTCCAAAATCTGTTCCGGGAGCCCGCGCCCTCGAGGGACGCACCGCGGTGCTGGGAGCGCCCTCCGGGACGCACGGACAGACGGGCGCACGGACGGGGCCGCAGCTGCACTCACCCGGTTCCTCCGCCGCCGGCGCTTCTGCGAGGTCGGGGCTCGGCTGCTGCAGCAGCGGCTGCTCGCCCTGGCCCTCCTCCGAGTTGATGTGCTGGGGCTTCGCCTGCTTGCGCCTCGACATGGTGCGCGCATCGGGGCGCCGGGAAGAGCCCTGGTGACTTGCCACCAATTCCTAGAGTTGGGAAATTTTACCCCCCTTCGGCCGGAACGCGCATGTCCCAGTAATTATTATTATCAATAATGCATTGCGATTTATCATGAGCCCTGACAGCTGATTGGCCTGGGTCCAAGACCTCAGAGATCATTTAAATAAGCCCTCATTGATCAGGGAGGGGCGAGGCATGCTGGGCCTTGTAGTCCGGCCCTACATGTGACAAAGGCGTGTTCATCAGGGAAGCGTAGCTAATTAGCATCCGGGCTCAGATTGGCCGGGGCGTGGACCGACTCGGAGGGGACCCTCCTCGCGGCCACTGTCCGAGTGTTGGGAAAAGAGAAGAAAAAGCGGGGGGAATCGGTTTATTGAAAACCAGGGCCGGACATGAAAGTTCTAGAACCGATGTGTCTTGGTAATGCGCTCCAAAAAAATTACTGAAGTAGTTCACGTGGTTGATAACTACCAGCTGAAAAAAGGTCTCTCCCTTCACAGAAAAATACTTCGGTTCAATTTTTACCTCTAAACCCAACCTGACCGGAGACTCGAGTCCCTTTCCAGGTTTTTGATTGAAATTTTTAAATTGCTTTTGGAAGGCTGCCGGAGTGGCCGGTGGTACGCGCGGCCTTCTGCCCATCCCAACTCTTCAAGCTACACCCCCCCCCCCAACACACACAATTTCACACTTCGTCCCACCACGATTTGCGTCGGGATTCACATTCACGAGCGTGGGTTTGTTATTACCGTGTAAACTTTCTGAATTTTAGAAAGTACTTCTCAGCCCCTGTCTGCTAACTGTAGAAAGGACAGATTAAAAGCAAAGTTGATCAGAGATAATTCCAGAATAGCGAGCATTTGCGGTTTCAGTCTGCTGTGGGAAAGAGTGGGCGTCCTGAAGGCACCTGGGTGTTTGTACTCACTGGTCACCAGGACATTTTGCAATGCAAGACCTCGTAACAAAAAAGACCACTTCCGTTAAGAGGTTGTAGGTTCCTGATTCAGGGATGGCTTGGAATTTTCTAAAGGGACGTGTATGGATATAAAATTATACTTTACAAATCTCATAAATTTAATTGGATAGCTCCCTTCCACAACTTCCGAGCTCAGTGGTGAAGGAGTATTCAACTGACTGGTCAGCCTTCTGGATATGTGGTTCCTTATTTGACATTTCCGTCCTTATTAGGGTCTGGGCAGACACCAGCCTTTCCTCAGTCTTCCTGCTTGGGGTTTTGTTTTTTGTTTGTTGGGGGGGGGTATTATTATTTTTAGCTGTTTATCAAGTTTGCTGTTTCTAAGAAGCTGATGAGGGAGGAAGGGGGAATAAGAGCCTGGCCTCATGAGCATTGAGCATGTTCACCTGAGCCTTTGGACAAACCAAAGCTGAATAAATCAGCTGGAACACGATTTTAATATGAGTAGCTATGGATAAGACCTTATAGAAGAAACGCCTGACTTACAATTTTGACCAGTCTTCTGGAACATGTTTTGAATTATTTGGAGGATGCCATCTAAAACAAATAGGACAGCCCTCTTGCAAGCCAGGGTGCAGCTGGCGGGGAAGAATTCGTTTTCATGTTACATAAAAGCTCTCAGGATTCTGATACTGAGTCAGAAGGCAGATTAACACCTGCTTCTGCCTAATCTGCCGATATTCTCAACACCTTTCTGGGAAGGGAGCCGAGCAGGCGTAGCCATTCAGAAATCTAAAGGAATGTACAGTTTATAGCTCAAGAAAGATGAGCCAGCCCTTTAAGGAAAACGTCGTGTGATAGAATTCTCTCCTTTATCTTGCTAGTGATCGTTAAAGCATGGCAGTCATATTTGTCTGAGAATGAGGTGGGACCATTGGGCCATTTCAATCGCGACAGTGATCCTGACTGATGATAATTTTCAGAAGGCGGAGGCAGAGAGACCTCAGGTTTGAGGGGAGCCCTTGTCTCAAAGACAAAGAAAAGGTAACGTCAGGAGGAAGCAGAGTACAGTAGTTTTTTTGCTTTGTTGTTGTTGTTGTTTATTTCGTGTGCACTGGTTCTTTGTCTGTGAGTATGTCTGTGTGTGGGTAGATCCCCTGGAACCAGAGTTACAGACAGTTGTGAGCTGCCATGTGGGTACTGGGGACCAAACTCAGGTCCTGTGGAAGACCGCTGAACCATCTTTCCATCCTGACCGTAGATTTGTTTTATTATTATTATTTCATTTTATTTTTGACTTTTTTTTTTAGAGAGTTCTCACGTAGCACAGGTGGCCTTGAGTTTTTAATGCTCATAGCTTCACACACACACACACACACACACACACACACACACACACACACACACACGAGTTGTTCTTGGATTAGAGGCGTGAGACACCTTGACTACTAAGCATACTCCCTGTTCATCCAGTGTTTCCATTTCGTGAGCCACAGCCAGCAACCAGCAGAGAAATGGACTGAGCCTTTGGAGGGGAGCAGAGCAGAAAAAGGATGAAGCGTGGAAGGCAAGTCTCTAATCCAAAGTTTTCATGTGATGGTTTAGAACACCTTAGGCAGCCAAAAGCCCTGGGTCGGGCTAGATACAGGAAAGAGACTGGATTTTAAGGCAATAGCTTGCAAAGACCGATTGTTTTCAGGGTTGGTTCTAGGCGCTACTTCCCAACAAGGTTGATAACTAGTAGGTTTTTCAGCTGTCTGTGAATGCCCAACCTCTACTATATATAAAGAGATTTGGGGTGCACAACCCCATTTCGTTCCTGCAGCCACCGAGGCTCCTTGTATAACTGTTTATTTGTTGATCAGGGTCATTTGCATCCCAGGCTGGTATTCAGTGCACTTTGTAGCCAAGGACGATCCCATCCTCCTATTTCTTTTTTTCTTTTTTTTTTTTTTCTTTTTTTTTTTTGGTTTTTTGAGACAGGGTTTCTCTGTGGCTTTGGAGTCTGTCCTGGAACTAGCTCTGTAGACCAGGCTGGTCTCGAACTCACAGAGATCCGCCTGCCTCTGCCTCCCGAGTGCTGGGATTAAAGGCGTGCCACCCGGCTCCCATCCTCCTATTCTGTCTCAGTCCCTAGGATCACAGGTGTCTGGCTCCCTCCTTAAGGGAGGGCAACCCTGACTATCAACCAACTGCAGAGCTGTGTGCGTTCAGGGACTTTCCTACTGAGGTGTATAGGTCTCCGTCTCTCCACCAGTCACTCCGTCTTGTCTCCGCCCTCCCGCTCTCCCCTCCACCCTGAGCCCCCAGTCTCAGCCTTCCTTCTTCCACATTAGGTCACTTATTTTTGCCCAGCTTCTCCCCGCTGCCTCCTTTAGCACCCACTATGTAGCAAGAACTCTTTCCTTCTATGGCATAGACTATATAGTTCAAGATTTAGGGCAGATTTCTTTTTTTTTTTTTTTTTTTTTTTTGAGGGGTGGAGGGTGAGGCCGGATCGCATGTAGCCCAGGCTGCCCTCAGTCTCGTGGCAATCCTCCCTGCTCAGGTTCCCAACTGTTATCTTCTTCCACCCTGTAAATCCCTGGGGGCAAACCCAAGTCTTCCGACTTGGCAGCAGGCATCTTTAGCAGCTAAGCCATCTTTCCAGCCCTTGTTTGTTATTTGAGACAGACTGGCTTCCAACTCAGGATATGGCCAAGGAGGACTGTGAGCTTCAGATTCTCCTGTGTCAGCCTCCCAAGTACAAAGATGACAGACGTGCACCACAGTACCTCATGGAAGCAGCGCTGGGGGTGAGACCCAGGGCTTTATGCGTGATGGGCAAGCCCTCCACCAACCAAGCCGCATGCCAGCCCCCTGTATCTTTGATTTAGGATATTTTTCAACATCCTCCAGTTCTTCGCGAGTCTCACTTCATTGGAAGCAGGAGAATGAGTGTGTATGTCTGTTTGTCTGTCACACTGCAGCCTCGTCAGGACTGACGGCCTCACCTCTGTGTCCTTTCCACTTGGCTGTAGTAATGGGACGTAGAAGGCACAATAAAGACAGTGAGCCAATGATTATGACTCTAGGGACCCTGGGCATAAAATAAAGTGTTGAGGGCAATGATTGGAGAGGAGGGAGTATCTAAAATGATGCAGGCATTACAGACAGCTGTTGGCAAGTCCTTAAAATTCAAAGTGGAATTATAGGAAATAACAGTGAGCAGGGTATCAGAGGGATATTCTGATGTCTATGCTTATAGCTGAATTCCTAGCAATACTTAAAAGTTAGCAGTAACCCGCCGGGCGATGGTGGCGCACACCTTTAATCCCAGCACTCGGGAGGCAGAGGCAGGCGGATCTCTGTGAGTTCGAGACCAGCCTGGTCTACAGAGCTAGTTCCAGGACAGGCTCCAAAGCCACAGAAAAACCCTGTCTTGAAAAAACAAACAAACAAACAAAAAACAAACAAACAAACAAAAAAAGTTGGCAGTAACCCAAGTGTCCATCAAGGGATGAATGGATAAACTCAATGTGGACTACCGCACAATGAAATATTATTCAGCTTTTGCTTTTATTTGTTTTGTTTGTTTGTTTTTTGTTTTTCGAGATGGGGTTTCCATGTGTAACAGTCCTAGCTGTCCTGGA